GCCATAAAAAGAACGTGATTCAGTCATTTGCAACAACAGAGATGGAACTGGACGTCATTATGCTAAATGAAATAAGCCAGGCACAGACAGCCAAACATCACACTTATTTGTAGGATCTAAAACTCAAAACAACTGAACCCATGGAGACAGAGAGTAGAAGCACAGTTACCAGAGGCTGGGAAGGGGAGTGGGACAGGTGAAGAGAAAGTGGGGATGGCTAATGGGTACAAAAATGTAGTTAGAAAGAATGAATAAGATCTACTACTTAATGGCACAAGGTAACCGTAGTCAATAATAATTTAATTGTACATTTAAACATAACTAAAAGAGTATAATTGGATTGTTGGTAACACAAAGGATAAACACTTGGAGGAATGGATCCTCTGTCTTCCATGATGTGATTAGTACTCACTGCATTCCTGTATCAAAACATTTCATACCTCATAAATACATACACCTACCATGTACCCATAGAATTAAAAATTAAATTAAAAAAGAAGTGCGGCCGGGTGCGGGGGCTCACGCCTGTAATATTAGCACTTTGGGAGGCCTAGACGGACGGATCATGAGGTCAGGAGATCGAGACCATCCTGGCTAACACAGTGAAACCCTGTCTCTACTAAAAATACAAAAAGTTAGCCAGGTGTGGTGGTGGGCGCCTGTAGTCCCAGCTATTCGGGAGGCTGAGGCAGGACAATGGCGTGAACCTGGGAGACAGAGCTTGCAGTGAGCTGAGATCGCGCCACTGCACTTCAGCCTGAGTGACAGAGCAAGACTCAGTCTCAAAAAAAGAGAAGGGGGAGGGGGAGGGGGAGGGGGAAGGGAGGGGGGAGGGGGAGGGGGAAGGGAGGGGGGAGGGGGAGGAGGAGAAGGAGAAGAGAAGGAGAAGGAGGAGAAGAGAAGGAGGAGGAGGAGGAGAGGAAGAGGAAGAGGAGGAGGAGGAGGAAGAGGGAGAAGAAGGAGGAGCAGAAGGAGGAGGAGGAGAAGAGGAGGAGGAGGAGAAGAGGAGGAGGAGGAGGAGGAGAAGGAGAAGGAGGAGAAGAAGGAGAAGAAGAAGGAGAAGGAGAATGAGAAGAAGAAGAAGAGGAGCATCTGAGGGAGGTCAGGTAAGCTGGGAGGCACCAATTGGTGCCATAGCTCTAGACAGACAAGGCCCAGAGTCCAGAATTATCAGAGATTCAGCAAGGCAGGAACCAGTGGGCAACACTGTCAGAGACCCTGAAGTAGAAGCCCTTTGCTCTCTGCCTTATTCTATCCTCCCTCCCACCTCAGTGTGGACAGCCTTGCTGCATCCCCTAGAAGTGTATGTAAGCACCACATCTGGAGGTCTGCAAGAATGTTCTAACTTCGATTGGCACAGAAGCAGAGCTGCTAGGCTTTCTATGAGATCAGGATGGTGGCAGTCCAAGTCCTCAGGGCACCTAAATGTTTTCTCTTGTAGCCAGAAAGAAACATCCAGAGCTTAAACAAGTGAGCCATAACCCTCTCAATCTGCTCATGATGAAGTTGGGCAGCGCAGTGGGGAAGCAACAGCTTCTAAGTTAGTAGTGAGTGTTCACATACTCCCAAGGCTTGAGTAACCTGAAAAATTTTTTGAATAAATCTAATATCTTTTTCTAAGATGTCATGTGAGTATATCATGAACAGCAATGCTTCTATTAAGTAAAATAGAGGGTGCCTTTTCACTGATATACTTTATTAGGAATTATGTTGCTAGATACAGGAGTTATGTAATAGGTATAGCACTGTTCAAGTTGTCAGAAAAAGGAATGGATCAGAGCAGGAAAATGTGTTTAAAAGCTTCTGAGATACCACCAAATGGGTTCAAAGCCATGGAGAGGGATCACAATATGACTTTCTGTTTCACGCACCAAGGAAAAGGGGCCGAGTGCATATGCATCTGGCACCGCAGTTTTACTGCAGGCTTGCCTCACCACAGTGGCAGAAGGGCTGGCTAGCTGAAGCCCCGGGAGCTGTACAGAGCAGCACATGAAATTGGCTGTGGCTCAGATGCAATTCACAGCCTACAAAAACAGCCCACTTCCCTGCGCGGTTTTGTTCAAGGTCAGGACTATGCTCAGAAAAAAACCTCCCGTGCATGAGTCAGGCAGCCAAATACAATTATGGTTAAGACCCTCTGGCAGTGGTTAAGACCCATGACCTCCTGGGTCATCACACTGTTTGAGCCATTGCTTTGTCATCTCACCACGTTAAGAGTTTCCCATGGCTACCCGGGAGCCCTTCCCCACCACTAAGTCAGCCTCCTTGAAGCTCGCTAGCTTTGCCATTTGTCTGGCACAAAGAGTACCACATTTATACTTTCTAACTCCAATTCAGCCATTTGTGGCAGCAAACGATATCTTCCATCCAATATCATTTGGAGCTTATGGTATGTTTCATCACTTCAGTCCATGCTACTCTGATACCAGCCATCGCTTTCATAATGCACAATCAGAAGACTCTAAGTAAGCATGCCTCAGAAAATGGGCCCTGATGGCTTTCAAACAAACCACAGAGCCCAGGCCTGCTCCCTGCTATTCCGATCTTGTAGCTCTGAGGTGGGGTCCAGGGATCAAAACAGCATTTCAGATTATTCTCATGCAGGTCAAAAGACTATACTGTGAAAAGAGTCTGAAATGATATCCTGGCCTTTGGACATATTTTAAACTAAAGACAGAAAATGCAAAAAACACCATAAATTCAATTTCATCAGAAATTCTGATGTGGTCCTATCACTGGTGGTTTTATCTGCGATATAAATGCTCTGAAGTCTAGCATACATCTTTAGCATCTCAAGCCATTGACAAAAAGTCATAACTATTTTATGCAAATCGTGATCCACAAATGACCAAAGACACTCAATACCTTATATATGATGGACAGGTGCTAAGGGAAATTAAGCATTGTACCATATCACCTAACTCCACATATTTTCCCATTTGGGTTCACAACCCTTCATCTTGAACTTGCACTTTGTTTTAGCAGCGAGAATAATACTGGATTTATGTATCAAGGCAATGTGCCTTGTGTAATGCAGTGCTTAATTTACAGTTGATTTTAAAGCTGGTGATGCCAAACTTTGAACGAACTACTTTATTTTTCATCATTTTAATTTCAAACTTCTGTTTGAGCCCAAACTTATTTTGCACTTCTACAGATGTTCTCTACGCTTTTTATATACCACTACTATCAAAAGGTTATTTGGAATACAAAATGTAGTATGTCTGCAAAAACTAAAGGAAAAGGGGAAGATGAAGTGAAAAGAATAATAAAAGGGAAAAGGAGGAAAAGAAGAGGAAAAAGATAAAGAAAGGGAGGAACATGTCATCTGACCAGTCCCTTCCATGCAAAATTTGCTACTGTTCTTTTGTACTCCAGCAGTGCTCAATGACATCTACCACCTTCACCCTTCCCTGCCACTTGCCCTATGACATGAAGTCCGTACTACCCAGTAATCTAGCCCATGTGATCCCAAGAGGCTCTCAGAGATTCAGCAAATACTCCAACATCCCTGGAGCCCAGCCCTCCACCTCCTTCTTGGAGAGGAGACCACTGCAGGTAAGGCAAAGGCTTCTGCTCATGCCTGTGTTGGGCACGCCCCCCTTGTCTCACTGATGCTCCATCCAGCAACAGGGAGTTCACATGCTGCTTAGATCTGGCCACACTCCTGGTTTCTGAAGAGTAATTCAACCTCTCTCCCAGCCACCCTGACCTGGCACTCAATGAACACTTATAAGCATAACTAAGTGTAGGTACTGTTTTTGATGCTGGGATGCAGAGTTTAGTAAGATTTGGAGCTTACATTACAGTTGGAGGGACAGACGTAAAAACGGGTAGACAGCCCCACTGAAAGAGATGAGGGAAGATTTCCTTAATCAACAGCATTGAGTCTTGAAGCATGAGCTAGCCAACTGAAGTGATCAAATCCAGGGTTATATTACAAGACAAAAAAAGAGGCCTGATGAAAGGCATGGAGCTGTGAAATATTTGGGGTTGGGGGGGGCATACAATCAGTTCAGCATTACAGGAATATAAAGTATGAACCTGGAGACTTGGTGCATGAAGCTGAAGACCAGGCAGAGGCCAGAAGGCAGAGGGCTGGAGCCCTCCCTGGGGGTCTTGGATTTAATTTATGAGCAGTGGAAAACTGCCAAGGAGGTTTTTGTTTAATGTATGCTCTGCCAGATCTGCAATTTGGGAAGCACCTATGGTGGTGGTGTAAATCCTGCATGTAAGGTGGGGTGGGGTAGGTGGCACGGGAGTGAGATCCAAAGTATTAAGGCCATCTGGAAGCTTCTGCAATACAACAATCCAGAACTGATGAGGGTCCAAATAGGGACAGAAGCGAGCATAAAGAGGAAGAAATGGATGTGAACAACTCTTTAGAGGCTTAACCAATCGGGCATGCCAGAGAAGAATTCTAGGAAGAGTCCCAGGTTTCTGGCTCATGTGACTCAGCAGTGAGTTTACTGGAAAAGGGAAGGAGGAGAAGAAATTTACTTGGGGATGTGAGGAGTTATTTATGAATTCATTATGAACTCCAAACCCCTTTACACAAGCCAAGCAATCCCTGCAAATTTTGAAGACTTTAAAAATGTTACTGGCAGTGTCATAAAAGAACTATTTTCCCAAAGGGTTTGTTCACTGAAGTTTCATTGTCTAGAATTCAATTTGTACCTTCCTAACTCCATTATTATTGAATGTCCATAAACAGGGAAGGTGTGTTCTGCTTTCAACACTGATTTCATCACTCTGCTCGTTTGATGCTGAACAGTAAACCCCCAGCCTTGGCTCCTGTCCACATTTACCCATCGGTGTTCTTGGTGTCAAGGATCTGCTGCTGTGCTGGCCAGTGATTCAGCCAAGCTCTGGGGGCAGACAGGACAAGGCCTCCACATGGTTGTTAAGAGAAAATCTTAAGTAGTGTGTCTGTAATATCTTACTTCATATGTTTAAAAATCAAATATGACAGTTTAAAAATAAATATTAATTCCAGATAATAGTATCCACAAATATTTATTTTCTGTATATTTTTTTAATCCTCAGATTTAATTTTTACAAGACCAGCTCATAAATATCTTCCATCTCCTTATTCCCACCAATCGTCCTGCCCTTCTTCCCAAACACAAAACCCAGGGAGCTTTCTTCTTTCTTTGATAACTATGAATTTGTTGCTAAAGGAAAGGAAAGAATGCAAAAAAAAAAAAACTAGTAAGTGAAGAGAATACATCTTTTCCAAATTGTTACAATTAAAGTTCTTATTGAGATATGACAACATTACTAGAAATATGTGTGCATATAAATTCGTAGGTAATATATGTTGTATATAATATGTTATACGCTGGGTGCAGTGGCCTATATCTGTAATCCCACTGCTTTGGGAGGCCAAGACAAGAGGATCTCTTGAGGCCAGGAGTTTGAGACCACCCTGTGCAATATAGGGAGACCCTGTCTCTATGAAAAAATTAAAATTAGCTGAGTGTGGTGGTGCATACCTGTAGTCCTAGTGACTGGGGAGGCTGAAGCAGGAGGATTGCTTAAGCCCAGGAGTTGGAGGCTGCAGAGAGCTACAATTGAGCCGCTGCAGTCCAGCCTGGGTGGCAGAGCAGGACCCTGTCTCTAAAAAGAAATAATAACAATAATAAAATATAAATATATATAATATGTTATATATAATACATACATATTTATATACATATATACATATTTAAATTTGAGTTAACTTACCGCTTTCAATAGATGTTCATTCCCCAAGAAAACTTACAGAGTTTAAGATATCAGTTCAAACTTCTTGGTACAATCTTTTAAAAGAACCATTGATCTAAAATATCCTTCAAAGGTTTGTCTAATGCCCCATTTCAGCTCCCTGAGAAGCATGGAAATTGCATGCAGAACATTTATTAGGCGGTGCTTTCAAGATCAGTGACTTGAGGGGAGGGAGGAAACCAGCATTGGGAAGAGGAAGGAGTTGGGTCACAATGCAGGGAGACAATGGCTTCAGCTACTCCTACTGACTCTTCAGAGTTGTTCCTGTTAAGGCTGAAGGGACCAAGCCTTTATACCGCTGCATCAACCAGACACCCTAGTCATTAGACGCAAGCTGCCTTGGGGATAGGAAGGCGACCTTGGTAAAGAGTCAGCAAGTTCAGCAAGAGTCTGCAGCCAAGGGCAAGTCCCAGAAAGGGACTCAGCTGGGTGCTGTCCACAGCCAACACGCCTACAGCTGGGGTAATTTGTCCTTCTGTAATATATAATAACATAATAACAGAGGGCTTCTGATAAGCACACCACACTACACTTAAGTTCTAAGAAAGTCTCCAAACTGGCATTAATTACATCTGAATTAATGTAAGCATGGTGACCTTAAGCAAGTCACTTAATGCTATGGGGTTCATTTCCCTTATATATCACATGAGGCAGGATAGATCTCAGGTTTCTTCAACCCTAGAGGTCTAGATATGGCCAAATTTCTCATACTGTAGAGATGTGCTTTTATCGTCTCTATTTATACTTTCTATGCATATTTGGGGCTCTTTGAATAAACAACACATGCCATACATTTATGCTTACTTTATATGACCTGAATTAGTGGAGCCACTTGGAATGTCTGGGCATTCGAAGGAAAATTTATAGAAAGATATTTCTTTGTTTTAATGACATATTATTTACCATACCTTCAATTTATTTAATTCTAAGACAATTGGTAGGAATATGTAGGTCTTCCATTGTGGTGTTATTCTCATTAGAAAATAGGATTTTAAAAAATCTTTTTGAGGACACAGTCTCCATGAACATGTTGAGGGGAAAAAGCCAGGACTTCTGGTAGTACATCACCAGAATGTACTACCAGAACTGTACTGTGTCTGGTAGACACAGCCAGAATAACAATGAGAATAACAATGATATAATGCTCTTTATCAGTACAGTAAGAACTAAAGGAACATCCAGAGGAAATACAGGCTACTTCAGGAAATAGGCTGCTAAGATCATCTAACATCTCACAAAACAAACAAAGGCTTTGGATTTGTTAGATATTTCCAAGGCTTCCACTAATCAGAACTGTCAACAGCAGAGAAGGAGAAATAGGAGGATTCTGAACGTCTTAGAACTCTGGGTAGCAAATGAAATTGACAAAGCAATAGTGATGTTGAGTTTTCTGGAGTTGGTGTCAGTGCCTAGATTCTGTTCACCTTAACTCAAAGGGAAGGTCTTCTCTTTTCACTCCCTTTTATCAAAATGTATCTCTACATTGTCATATATTTTTAATGGCCGTATTCAGGGACATACAGGAGATAGGTTGAGAATAAATTGCACTACACACTAAGGTGCTCTGCCTTCTTCCTAGTGACCACTAGCCTCGGAGGAGATGTAGAGGCGAAGGCTTGGAATACAGACAAATACCTCACTGTGGTACTGAGCGTAGGCCATGCTTGGTCCCTAAGTGATTCAAGTCACCTACTCATATCCAAGAAACATTTCCAGAGATGAGAAAAAATGGCTCATTTCAATTGCCTGACTGACGGCATGGATGCAGTAAAAAGAGAACACTTTTGCACTACTGGTGGGAATGTAAACTGGTACGACTGTTATGGAAAACAGTGTGGAGATTCCTTAAAGAGCCAAAAGTAGATCTACTATTTGATGCAGCAATCCCACTATTGGCTATCGACCCAGAGGAAAAGGAATCATTATATGAAAAAGATACTTGCACACGCATGTTTCTAGCAGCACAATTTGCAATTGCAAAAACACAGAACCAGCCCAAATGCCCATTAATCAATGAGTTGATAAAGAAAATGTGGTATATGTATATATGTATATGTATGTGTATATATACATATATATATGTTTGTGTGTGTGTGTGTGTATACACCATGAAATATTACTCAACCATAAAAAGGAATGAAATAATGGCATTCACAGCAACCTGATGGAATTGGAGACTATTATTCAAAGTGAAGTAACTCAGGAAGGAAAACCAAACGTTGTATGTTCTCACTCATAAGAGGAAGCTAAGCTATGAGGACACGAAGGCATAAGAATGATACAGTAGACTTTGGGGACTCAGGGGAAAGGGTGAGAAGAGGGTGAGGGATAAAAACAACATATTGGGTACAGTGTATACTGTTCAGATGATGGATGCACCAAAATCTCAGAAATCATCACTAAAGAAGTTATTCACATAACCACACACCAGTTGCTCCCTAAAAACCTGTTGAAATATAAAATAAATTAAAAATAAATAAATAAATGGTCCAACTGAGTCACTGGCCTGGGGAGTCTGCATAACACATGATACACCCTGCAGCATTACAATGCAGGAGAAAAATATTGCCACCTTCTTTCAGGGAGGATTTTTTAAAATGATACTGTGGGCCAGGCATGGTGGCTCACGCCTGTTATCCCAGCACTTTGGGAGGCTAAAGTGGGTGAATCACCTGAGGTCAGGACTTTGAGACCAGCCTGGCCAACATGGTGAGACCCTGTCTCTACTAAAAATACAAAAATTAGCCAGGCGTGGTGGTAGGCACCTGTAATCTCAGCTACTCGGGAGGCTGAGGCAGGAGAATTGCTAGAACCAGGGAGGCGGAGGTTGCAGTGAGCCAAGATGGCGCCATTGCACTCCAGCCTGGGTGACAACAGCAAGACTCATCTCAAAAAAAAAAAAAAAAAAAAAAAAGACACTGTGAAGTGCAGTGTGGACGTATCTCACAATGACTTGGCTTATTGAATGGAAAATTTAACAAAGCAAGCAATCATCCAGGAAGGATGGAGAATGTGAGTTACCTATGAGATGGAAATGGCTCCTCTGCATTTGGAAGCCCATCCTCTCTTTTTGGCAAAGGTCAGGAAAGCCTTTCTGCTGGGAAATAACAAGCAAAAGATGTAGCAACACTAAGTCACAGTGAGCCCACCAAGGGCCCCAGGTGAGTGGGAGGGGTCTGAGCAGGTGTGCTGGGCTGAGCCGCCAGCCTCACCGGGCCTTGAGCTGGATGTTCCTCCACAGGCCCTTTCCCTGCCTTCAAGAGGGAGCCTGGCCAGGTGCAGTGGCTCACACCTATAATCCCAGGCCTTTGGGAGGCTGAGGCAAGAGGATTGCTATACCCCAGGAGTTTGAGACTAGCCTGGGCAACATGGTGAGCTATCTCTACAAAAAAAAAAGTAGTGGGGAGGGCCTGAGGTGAAAACAACTCTGAATTCTATGGCAGGTGCGCCCAATACAAGAATTAAGAAATATGTTTAATGGCATGCTATAAAAAATGCCACCTCACACCCATTAAGATGACTGCTATTAAAAATAATAATAACAGTATAAGCAAGGATGTGGAGAAGTTGGAACCCTTAGGCACTGATGGAATGTAACCAGTGTGGGCACTGTGGAAACAGTATGGTAAGTTCCTCCAAAAATTGAAAATGGAATTGTCACCTGATCTAGAAATTCCCCTTCTGGGTATATAACCCAAAAGAATTGAAGGCAGGGACCCGAACAGATATTAGTACACCCATGTTCACAGCAGCATTATTCACAAAAGTCAAAAGGTGGAATCTACCCAAGTGTACATCAATGGGTGAATGGATAAACAAAAAGTGGTATATACACTAGAATCTTACTCAGCTTTTAAAAGGAAAAACCTCATGCATTCTACAACATGGATGAACCCCCGGAGGACATTACACTTAGTGATATAAGCCAGTCACAAAAATACAATACAGTGTTATTCCACTTATAGGAAGCACCTAGTGTAGTCAAATTCTTAGCAACACAGAGTGGAAGGGAGGTGACCAGCAGCTGATGAAGGGGAGAATGGACAGTTGTTTAATGAGTATAGAAATTCAGTGTGACAAAATGAAAAGGGTTCTGGAGATAGGTTTCACAGCAATGGGAATGTACTTAACACTAAACTGCACACTTCAACTTGGTTAAAATGGTAAATTTTATGTGTTATGTGTGTATTTGACTGTAAATGCCATGAAGTAATGATTTAAAAACCATTTAAAAATCATTACTTCATAGGAAAAATTGCCAACTGGTGCAGAGCTGAATGAGTCTTGCCACTCTAACCATTGGCTGGAGTCTGTGGTTAGAATCAATACCACATGGGGTTCCCTGGAGAACTTGTGCAAATCAGGAGGAACCCTGGGGAGCCCGTACCAGTCTGAGCAAGGCAGGATCGCCCAGTGATGAAGATAGTAGCTGATCAAGTTAGACAGCAGGGGTGATCCCAGCTCCAACATCCTGCTATGTTGCCCTGAGCAAATTACTCAGCTAGAGCTGAATTCTAATTGTGAAATGAGGTAATAACAGCTATTCCATGTAGGACTGCTGTGAGGATTAACTAAACACAAAGCACGAAGTGAAGAACAATGTAGAATGCGTTACTATTTGTGCCATGAAGCAGGGGGAAAAGATATATTCTCTCTAGATGTATGTATGTGTATATATTCATATTTTTTGTTTATGTGTAAAACATCCCTGGTAGGTTATACAAGAAATGAAAAGCAGTCATTATTTCTCTGGGAGATGGTAACTCAG